CCCAGCGTCACCAGTTAATAGAATATAATTTAAAACTTTCAGAAGTGCAGTCTCAGTCGAGTGGTGTTTTCTAAAACCTGATTGAAAGACCTCAAAGATCTTATTTTCATCTAAAAAAATGTGTAGCTGTTGCAGGACTACTTTTTCTAAGATCTTTGTAATAAAAGACAGATTTGAAATGGGTCTATAATTGGCTAAAACAGAAGGATCTAGGTTCGGCCTCTTAAGCAAGGGATAGACCGTAGCATATTTTAACACATCTGGCACAGTACTAGTCTCAAAACTTCTATGTATCATGGTCACAAGATAGGGACCCATTGCATCAAAAACTTGTTTCAGGAAATATGGTGGAATAGAATCAATGGAGGAGCCAGACGCCTTTAACTAATACACTATTTCTTGAAGATGTATAAGAGAAATAGGTTCAAACTGGCTGAACTCAACAGAACAAACAGAAGAAACAGAAGGATCAAAAGCAGGTGGAGATATCCCCAACCTGATATCACTGATCTTATTAATAAAAAATCTAAGAAAGTCATCACACATAGTTTTTGACACATCTGGGTACTCACAAACAGTTGGATTTACAACAGCGTTAAAAACAGTAAAAAGAGTTTTAGGTCTGTGGTAATTCTTGTCAATAATTGCCGTGAAATACCTGGATTTCGCTGCTCTGACTGCCTTCTGAAATTTGAATAATGAATCTCTTAAAATTTCAAAAGAAATTTGGAACCGATCCTTTTTCCACTTACGCTCCACTCTCCTACAGATCTGCCTCAGAGAGCGTATGTTGTCATCAATCCAGGGCTCAGATCTAGGTTTAAGTTTTGAGGATTTTACAGGAGCAACTGAATCTAAGACATCCACACATGTGGAGTTAAGCCTGAACAGGAACTCCTCTGCACTCAAGTCACATTGACTGAAATCTACTGATTTAATAGCGTCACAAAAAGTGAACGAAAAGGCTTTGCTAGTAGTAAAGGTAATTAATCTAGATTGATGAGTAAGTTTTGTGACTTTATGAGTATTAGAAACCCAGGGTACAGAAAACATGACAGATTTATGGTCAGAAAACCCATTGTCAGATACCTCAAGTTCGTACAGAGAAAAGCCATATGTCAGCACAAGATCAAGTGTATGTCCCAACCGGTGAGTGGGGACATTCACATGTTGTTCTAGATGTAATGCATTTAGCAGAGTAATACATTCTTTGGCTAATGGGTCCCCTGTGCAGCATACATGAACATTAAAATCACCAAGAATCAACAGTTTGTCATATTTCAGTGTAAATTCCCCCAAGAAGTCTGCAAACTCATTAAAAAAGTTTGTGTTGTGTTTTGGGGGGCGGTATATCAGAGCAACCAAAAGTGGGAAGTTCAGATCCAGTGTAAATAGCTGCAGCTCAAAACTCCGATAGTCATTTATCACAGTTGACCGGCAAGAAAGTTTGTCTTTAAAAATAGAAACCAAGCCTCCCCCTCGACCAGATTTACGAGGCGAATTAAAAATTAAGCATTTTGGGGGTACAAGTTCAGAAAATGGGCTGAGATCCCCAGTAGTGATCCAAGATTCTGTAATGAATTAGAGATCCAGCTCCCGCGAAGAGAAAAAGTCGTTAATAATAACAGTCTTATTTACCACTGATCTGGCATTTAACAATGCCATCCTAAGCCGAGGCGGATTCTCAGACGACACCTCAGACTGCCGTGCCCAGGAAAATTCACGAAGATGGTTCAAACACACTCCTCCACGATGGACCCGGGGCGAGCCGTAAGCGGGAAACAGAGCATCAGCAGACGGAATCAATGTAATATTCCAATTGTGTACTGGATCCAGGGAGCGCCAGCGAATGAAGTAATCGCCGGCCAAACCCTTCCCATGGAGACCCCGGAAAGGCCGCGACTCACGTTGCTGAGCCAGATAGAGCTTCAGTTTAACGGCAAGGCCTCCCCGTCTTCCGCGCCATTTCCGACGCTTCCTCGCCGGTAGGGAACACGGCCAGCAGTGAAGGTAGCCAGGTATTGACATCAGAAACGGAGGAGGTGAGTGATATGAGCCATTTCGTGCTTGAAACAATAGTTCGTTTGTACAAGGTTGTAAGCTTAGAAGCGTTGATTTGTCATAAACCAGTAATGACAAAACGCACTGTGTTAAATAGGACGTAAAACTGAGTAAAACAAACAAACTGAAAATTAGACCAGGAGACCGACGGCAAGCCACATACAGTGTATGCCATCTTTTTCCCACGTCACAATTGTCTTCAGTCAGTGAGCCAGTCTTTGTTAATGCACCCAATCTTGAACGGTCTGTCTGTCCAGCCACTCTCAAGGAGACCAACACGGAACTTTCAGCCCTGTCCCCTTTGCTCCTTCCTGGCTTCCTGCTTCGCCGATTTCGCTTGGGTGCCGTACTCTGCCGGCTCTACTTCAGTCCCCGGTCTCTCCACTTCCACGAGGAACTGGCCCTCCGTCCCTCCCCCTGTTCTGCCTCCGCTCCACCACCCTCCTGGATGGTACTGCTCTAGGAGCGTCTGGAAGCCGCTCCTTGGGGGGGGAGGCTCTGTCATGAATCCTGTCCATGAACTTCCATCTGCTTGCCACCAGAGGTTGCCCTCCCATTATATTGACTCTCACACCACACAGACTGTTACACATCACCCTGGAATACATTTCCCATGCTCCATTGCACTAATCACAAGCTCACCTGCTACCAATTTTGTATTATCTATTTTATTTTACAGTCTATTATTGTTGTTGTAGATTGTCTAGCTGTTTGGTGAAAGAGGTAGGTTGTGCTGCTTTGGCATCAGCTCTGAGTTCAAACCTTTCACACCTGAGAGAGCTGGACCTGAGTAACAATCATCTGCAGGATTCAGGAGGAAAGCTGCTCGCTGCTGGACTGAAGAGTCCAAACTGTCAACTCAACATACTGGGGTTTGACTTTCACAATGATTAATTTTGTGATTTTAATAATTACAGACGCCCTGTCAAGCAAGTTTAAGAGCAAAACATTTTGGGAAACTGTTCTGTTTTTCCCTTCATTAGCCTACTACAAATCTACCTGCTGTCTACAGTTGGATAGAAAAGTTTTAGGCAGAAAGTGAAATTGTTTATATTCTGCACTGTTTTATTATATATATATATTGTGTGTGTATATATATATATATATATATATATAACTTAAGGATTGTTCTCTCAGCCCTGTCTTTAAAATATTCCTGACCAAACCTACACTAACCACTGTTGGCCATCTAGCAACAAGCTAGCAGTTGCTAGAAACATGTTAAAACATGTTAGTAAAATGTTAAATCATGCAACAACACGCTAGCGATGTGTTATGCTAGAAACACATTTAAACGTAGCAAAGGGCTATATCATTCTAGAAGCATGCTATCAACGTATTAAATAATGCTAGCAACATATGAAAGCAACATATGAATCTTCAGAAAATCACACTGTTAACAGAAATCTCAAGACAGTTTATCCATTATAAAATTAATTTGAGTAAATGTCATTCAGTGAATCGTTCAGAGCAGTTTCTGAGTAAATTCCTTCATATCATAACATAGACTTCAGCATCCCACAATATATATATATATATATATATATATATATATATGCTGTCAATCAATAAAAATAAAACTAATTAAACACATGTACATTATTATTGTTGTTGTAGATTATCTGGCTGTTTGGTGAAAGAGGAAGGTTGTGCTGCTCTGGCATCAGCTCTGAGTTCAAACCTTTCACACCTGAGAGAGCTGGACCTGAGTAACAATCATCTGCAGGATTCAGGAGTAAAGCTGCTCGCTGCTGGACTGAAGAGTCCAAATCAACTCAACATACTGAGGTTCGGGATTAATATTGATTTATATTTTAATAATAGTGTGTGTGTGAGAGAGAGATTATATTTATTAGATTATAATTAATTGCTTAAAAATAATTGCTCAATTTGTTAAACGTGTTAACATAATAAACATAACAAAAACTGACAGCGGTGTGAAAGCAGCAGTTAAAAACACATCTGGGGGGTATTCCAGAAAGCAGGTTATGCGACATACCTGGGAATGTTTAAGAGGATAAACTCCGCTTTCAGTTCCAAAAACGGAGATAACTTTCAGAGTAAGTAGCCATAGCAACTTACACTCTGACCATAACCTGTAGGTTCTGTATCAGGGTTAGCTTACTTCAGTGCTATCATCGCATGCGTGACCTACTAACAAGAGTCATATTATATATTAATACAATGTAGTTATGTAATAAATATATATATATATATATATATATATATATAAATACAGTGGGTACGGAAAGTATTCAGACCCCCTATATATATATATATATATAATGGATGGATGGATGGATATACAGTTTATATACAGTCTATCTTAGGACAACTTAACTTTTTTTTAACTTTAAAAAAGTTAATCAAAGTTGTCCTAAAACAAGAACGGGTATTGATTTTGTTTTAGGACAACTATGATGAAAGGTTTTGATCCACTTCAAATGTTGACTACAAATATATACAGTATATATACAGTATCTCACAGGGGGGGGGGGGGGGATGGAATTGAGGTTTATGTTTTATTTTTA